GACTAGTACAAATTCTGACTAATGCAACTTCTGCCTAGTTACATCTTCTGATCAGCCACATCTTCTGGCTAGTACAACTTCTGACTACCGCAACTTCTGATGACACATCCCTCTGACAGCATAGCTTCTAACCCCATACAACTCCTAACGTCAGAACTTCTATTTTCTAGTAATTCCACGCAACTTCTAACAACCTACGTCTAGCATCAGAACTGTTATTTCTATTCGTCCTATTGTTCTAATTCTTTGCCTGCTATCAATCTAACTAAGAACAGTATTAACCAATTTCTATTCTCCAAATTAATCCATTAGTTCTAATACAGTAACGCCTATTATCAATTGCTAAATTCTGCATTTTCTGTATTGCAATATTTCTATGTTTCTTCTTCCCTGTTATCATTACAGATTCATACATAAAGCCTTAATCCTAATCTAATCGTGACAATTCATCACCCATAAATTACCTTATAATTCTACAGCAATTAAACAACATCAAGACATCATTATTCATCCAAAAATTCATCGATTCTCGTCACATAACAATCGTATATTTTCAATTCAAGAACAAGACAACAATCACCTCTAATCCCACATACCAATCATCATAAACCCAATTATAGAGTTAGAACCCCACCCTTACCTTGGATTGAAGGTCGCTCTACAATTCCCGGTTGGATTCTCGTTCTTGCCGTTATTCCTCCTTCTCACGCAGCTTGCACGTTCTTCTCAATCCTTATTTTTTCTACTGCTTCTTACTTCTATTCCAACAACAAATAACAAAATAACCCTATTATTCTATTATTCCTTATTGGGCTTAAAACCAACAGACCCCCTTATTACTTCTATTCTCCCCAAATAAGCCCACATTAAATAATATTACACATCTAATATTATTTCACCACATAATAATATATCTCTAATATTATTTCTCCATTTAATAAAATAAATCCAATTAATTATAACACAACTTAGAAAATATTCCAAAAATAATTTAATTAAATAATTAATTAAATTACGGGCGTTACAACACCACCTCATGCACAATCCCTTCCTTTTCACATAGCCTGTCGAAGTCTTTCGACACATATTCTCCACTGCCATCAGTTCTCAAAACTTTGAGTTTTAGACCACTTTGTCTTTCGATTATAGACTTAAACTTGGCAAATACCTCGATCACTTCACTTTTCTTCTTGATCAGGTAAGTCCATAGCTTTCGACTGAAATCATCTATGAATGTAATAAAGTATTTGTTACCTCCCATCGAATCCACCTGGATTATTCCACATACATCAGAGTATATGACTACAAGAATAGCCTTCGACCTGCTTCCTGCATCCTTGCTAAAGCTATTCTTGTGCTGCCTCGCCTGCACACATTCCTCACATACTTCGTTTGGAATGTCAATTTCAGGCAATCTTGAAACCATATTTTTTATCTTCAAGTCTCTGATGTCTCTAAAGTAGAGATGGCCTAGTCTATAATGCCATATCCATTCATCTCTGCTAGTTGCAGTCGAAAGGCACTTGCGCTCCATCACATTTAGTTCAATCTTGAAGGTTCGATTCTGAGACATAGGAGCCTTCAAGATTAATCTCCCATTTGCATCAACAGCTCTCATCATCTTATCTTTGATTGACACTTTATAATTCTTTTCGACCAACTGTCCTATACTGAGCAAATTTCTCTTCATGCCAGGTATCTACAACACATTGAAAATTACTTACCTTTTGCCATCTTTCCTCATAATCATAACATCACTAATACCTTCAGCTGCTAAGGTATTTTCATTTGCAAATTTTACCATATTTTTCATTGAGGGCTTTAGATTGACAAACCAGTCTTTCCTTCCAGACATATGTGATGAACATCCTGAATCCAAGTACCATTAGTCCTTGAATCTATCTTCATCTTTTGTTATGACCATCATCATCATCTCTTCTTCTTCATGTTTAGCAATCTCTGCATCACTTTCTTGATTCTTTCGTTTTTCTGGATAATCACTCGAATAGTGACCATACTTTTGACAATTGTAACATTGAATGTGACTGTTATCAGGTTTTCGACCACCACCTCTTCCTCTATTTGCAGCACAACCTCTTTGGTTGCCTTGGTATGGTCTTCTCTGATTCAACGTGTTTTCTTCGTTCTAGTCTCCTCTACCAGTCGATTTGTTGTAGCCGCCTCTACCTCTGTCGAACCACTTTCCTTTGCCTTTGGTTTATTTTGATGAATTTTCCTATAAAGCCACATCACTCTTCGACTTTCCTGCAACTCTTTCATTCATTCTCTGTTCATGAGATTCAAGCGCCCCTTGAAGCTCTTCCTTTGTCAATTTCGACAAGTCTTTTCCCTCTTCTATAGCTACCACTATGTGGTCGAATTTAGGGGCCAAAGATCTCAAGATCTTTGAAACAACATCTCTTGTTGTTAACGTTTCTCCACATATCTTGATTTGATTTACTAGTTTTGTAATTCTAGTGAAGAAATCAGATATGCTTTCACTGTCTTTCATCTGAAGCAGTTCATACGTCCTTTTGTGAGTTTATAACCTCACTTCTTTCACCTTCTCAGCGCCTCCAAAAGACTTCTCAAGGATTTCTCAAGCTTCTTTTGCAGATTCTGAATCACTAACCTTTTCGAAATTGTCTGGGATGACACATTGATGAATTATAAATAATGCTTTATAACTCAGCTTCTCAGATTCTGTGTATTTCTTTTTTTCTTCTTCTGAAGCTTTTTCTCCAAGCGCTTCGACTCCATCTTTTACAAGATCCCAAAGACCTTGACACTTGAATAAGACTTTCATCTGTTTGCACCAATTCTCATAGTTGTCAACTTTCAAAATTGGTAGGGTTGCTGGATAGTTTGCATTCTCAAACTTGTCATTGTGAATTCTTCAATCGTTCTTGATTGATACTTCTCTTGAATCGAAACAAAGCTCTTGATATCAGATGTTGGAAACTCACCAAAATCTATGATGAATTTCTACCACAACGACAATTTAATTATGAGATAAGCAAAGAAAAAAGACAAGATAAATAATTTCTACAGAGTTTCTCTCTGCTCACAAACTGTGAAAACTTTATTATTCACTTTGTAACTACAAAATACTGTGAATGACTTGCTTGACTTACTTACAAAAATAGGGGTTACTCCCTCTATTTATAACTGAGCTTATATCCTAAGTCCAAAGTCCAAAATATATATTTTGTTACTAAATCAAATCTAATCTATCCTAGATCTAAATCAAATCTATTTAAATCTAAAACAAATATAATCTTTTCGACGCTATGAATTACAATTTAACACAAACGAATTGAAAAAGGTTAAAACATTTGAGTTCCAGATAGTGATAACCTTTGGACCGACCAACTACAGGTTTTGTAGATGAATTGACACTCGCTGGAACCCCAAAGTTTTTCACAGTCAGCCTTGCTAACAGTTTCCATCTTTGATTCCCGAATACAAATCATTGTTGGTTTATGCTTCTCAACAAGCGTTTGGACCCCTTTCTTTTTTGCAAGACCTCTAAGATCTCTCACATTGTACTATAGAATCATAACTCACGGGTAAAAGTTCTCCAGAACCATATGAGGGACCGAAATTAAGCACCTCCAACCGCCACTGCCTGCTGCATAATGCTACTCTATCTCTTTCTTCTAAATTCATCCGTTTCTACAGCACCTCCCCTTCTTCGCCATTTTTCGCTAGCACCACCTCCTTGCCAATTAATTAAATTAATAAAATATATAATAAATAATATGATTGATTAAAAAATAATTTTAAAATACAATTTAATTGATACACTCAATATTAAATAACAAAAGGAGTAAATTATATATATATATATATATATATATATATATATATATATATATATATATATATATATATATATATATATATATATATATATATATATATATATATATATATATATATATATATATATATATATATATATATATATATATATATATATATATATATATATATATATATATATATAAAATTGTGATTTGAAATCTAATAATTTGTGTTGGATGAAGATAAGTTATGTGTTTTGAGTTGTATTTGAAAAGTTTTTATTTCGAATAAAATAAATTGTTTGGTTGGAAGTTTATCTTTAATGGTTTGTCTACTAAAAGTAAAAAGAGGCATGGTTTATTTATTGAGTATTAATTTTTTTCCAATGTATGAATTGGTTGAGGAGTCCATTAGTCTTTTTTTTTTTTTTTTAGTAAATCCGGGACAATTGGGTGGAGATTTTTTAGTGGTAGGTCATTCTGATTATTTACCACTGTTATTCTCTTAATAGTCGCCAAATATCATTGTGATTATCTAAAATCAAGGCATATCTTCCTCCTCTTGGTTTACTTCGTCTCTTTGCTCCATGAACACACCTTTATATCTCTTGGCATATATAATATAAAATACCAAGTCAATGAAAATAAGAAATGATGTCAAGAAGAAATATCTATCCAAATGACCAGCATTGAGATTAGGTGAAACCCAACCATGCTGTCCTTGACCACTTGATGTAATTTTATTCACCACAACCAAAATAATGTTACCAACATAACATCCAAGTGCAGATGTAAACATATGTAACCCCATTCCCAAGCTTTCCAATCCATCAGGTGCTTCAGAAGTAAAGAAGTTCATTTGAGCTACACTCACAAAAGCTTCTGCTACTCCCAAGAGTATATATTGTGGTATCAACCAAAAAATACTCAAAGAACTTGTCTCTTCTCCATTTTCGCTAGCACAATTTAATCTTTCCTTCTCTATAAAACCAGCGGCAGCCAATGTTATTGTTGCTATGGCGGATCCAATACCGATATTTTTAAGCTCACTAGGAAGTTTTGGAGGTTTTTTCATCACTTTCTTGTATAACGGAATGATGAGAACGTCAAATAGGATGATGGATGTTGATGTGTTAACAGTATCAAATATTGTCATGCTTGCAGGAGGGATTTGAAACTTGAAAAAAGTTGTGTTCATTGTTGAACCTTGTTCAACAAATAGAGATTGCATTTGCATTTGGATTTGACACTGGAGGTGAATATTGTGCAAAACCATATTGGTAATACTCTTAAAATATATTTCATCCCTTCAGTTTCTTTCACACTGCAAATGTATTTCCATGTGTATAATTTCTGGCCTTGACCTAGCGACATCTCAGTTGCATCATCAGAAACCATTGCAACTCTATTAAAAAACATGTTTCTGTACCATAACAAAAGGGAAAAAAAGAAACATGCATCACAATGTAGGGCTAACAAATACACCAAAATGATTTTAAAAAATAACAAAAAGGTACTTATAATACCTAAAAAAAGCCACAATAACTTGTGTAAACTTAGATATAGGGTTTCCAAAAGTCTTGTGGTGTTTATATCTAAGTCTTCCACTCATCAAAACAAGGAAGGAAACACCTGCACAACAAGTGCATATCCATGATCCTAAATTGGATGAGGCATACAAATAGCCATAAATTGTGTTCTTTGATCGTTGTTCATCAGGTTCATCTTCATCAAATTGATCAGCAGCAAGAGTTGGTAATGCAGGGTCAAAAACTCCACTTCCAAGAGCTATGAGGTATAAGGATAAGTAAAATGCTGGAAGGTGGTTTTGAGCATCTGATTCACATTGCACTCCTTTTTGTTCACAGTCATGAGTTGACAGAGATAATCCCAGCAAGCCCTACATAAATGTAAAGGGAAGATAATTATTCCTCCTTCTGTTTCAAAATGACACTTGTTTTAACAAATAGTATTTGTTTCAAAATAACTATCATTTTCATTTTTCAATATAATAATAATGATTATCATTTTTTCAATTATGCCCTTTACTTTTTATTCTAAACACTACTTTCAATATATTAATAAGATTAATTTTGTAAAAATGTAACATTTAACGATAATATTATTGCATTCCTTAATATATATACAAAAACTCTAAACACAGAGTCATTTTAAACGGAGGAAATATTAGTGTAGGTGTTTCGGAGCTTACAATGATAAACACGAGTTGGAATATGATGCAAGTGAGGTATCTTCCCAAATACGAGTCACTAAGAAAAGCTCCAATTAGAGAGAAGAAATTGGTAGTTCCGATCCATGTGGTGAAAATGTTAGCTGACTCTGCATTACTCTTTCTCAATACTAACTTTGCAAAGAGAACCAAATTTGCTTCCACTCCCGAGAATGCTAATGCAACTAGAAACTGATTCACTGTAACAATTTTTTCTTAAATGTTAAAGAAAATACATTCATAAATACAAAAGAATAGTGAAGATATATATAAAAGTACCTAACAGTAAAGATGCATTCCTCCATCCACCAGTTATAGCTTTTATAGCTGGTTTCTGCACATTCATCTGATATCTCCAATTCTTCCACCATCTCTATGTCTCCCATTATTGATTGGTTATATCTTTGGCTGCTCAGTAGTTTTGGGTTTGATATTTAAGGATTGCTTGTACTGTTGTAGGAAGTCATTCTTTGGAATTATCCTTTTGGCTTTTTTGATAAGACAATTAATAATTGAAAGTCTACTAACAACATAACCCGATACAACATTTTATATATTTAAGAACAAAACGTTTTCTTTTAAAATTAGACTCATAATTAGGAAAAATTACTACAATTGTCGATGAACAAAAGAGAATCAGAGAGATGCTAAGTGGTCGGAGTTGATAAAATACTTTTTTGAGCTCAATGTCATTTAGAGTCTTTTTGTTAGATTTAAAAAAAAAATATTTTTTTAAATGATTTTTATGAAAATAATTTTTAAAAATAATAGGAGTTATTCTTAATTCAATTTTTATAAATAAAAAGATAATTTTGATATCCAGTAATTTAAATATTTATTATTAAATATTTTAACTTAATCAAATTGACATATTTTCATATAAATAAAAAAATTGATTTTGTAAATTGTTTTTAAATTTAAAAAATAATACTATAAAAAATAAATTTTAAAAAGTTGAAACAGATCGACTTTAAGGATTAACAAAAAAAAAAAGATAGTTATGTGTTAGTCTATCAGGTAGGACCACGATTAAGTTCTTTTTCAAGGAAATTTAACAGCATCTAGAACTTTGATTAAGTTCTATCAGATTAATATGATTGAGGTGAATCTGGGTTCTTCGTGCAACATCCAAACCCACTTCAAGGTGATGCCTTTAGGGGCGAACTATTGTTTACTGGAGGAAATGGAAGAAGGAGAGATAACATACTTGATTCGTTAAGGGAAAAATCGGGTGGAGCCAGTGGTTTTTCGAAATCAGAACCTAAAGGGAGGAGGATGTGGACATGCTTGGAACATCGAGTTCATATATTTGTTCTGATGAAAATACATTGAAAGGAGAATGCATGGATGTGGCTAGGTTCTTGGTGAGACTAAGTGTAGCTTGGTTCTTAATGAAATATATTCGGTCCAGATTAACGACGAAGTGTTCAGGATTAAAATGGTCGAAGACTATCACGCTCTGTTGAGGATAGATGTTGGAAATAGAGAGGCTTGTTCCATCAAAGGCAGAGAGATTTCTGATTCTGATGGTCCTTGGGGATCTTCTAAGTCGGAGGATCTTGAGGAGTGGCGGTCGGAGGGTAACAACAGTGTAGGGGAAAACGATTATGGTGTAAGCTCTGCGTCCAAGGAGGGTGAAATTGTGTTAGAAAATTTCCTTCATCACCTGTTGGAAGTTACATCCACCAACAGAATAACGGACAACTGAAGCTCCTAAAAATTTGTTTCTCTCAAGAATGAAGATTCTCATCCTTAAAACCTCAGAAGATTGGTATACTCCCAACCTCCTGACCCTTAACAGAATGAAGATTCTCATCCTTGAAACCTCAGAAGATTGGTATACTCCCAACCTCCTGACCCTTAACAGAATGAAGATTCTCATCCTTGAAACCTCAGAAGATTGGTATACTTTCAACCTCCTGACCCTTAACAGAATGAAGATTCTCATCCTTGAAACCTCAGAAGATTGGTATACTCCCAACCTCCTGACCCTTAACAGAATGAAGATTCTCATCCTTGAAACCTCAGAATATTGGTATACTCCCAACCTCCTGACCCTTAACAGAATGAAGATTCTCATCCTTGAAACCCCAGTAGATTGGCACGCACCCAATCTTCTGACCCAAGACCTAAATGAAGATTCTCATTTTGGCTACCTCAAGAGATTGGTATACTCCCAACCTCCTGACCCCGACAGAATGAAGATTCTCATTCTCAAAGTGGTATACAATTCAACCCCGAAAGAATGAAGATTCTCATCCTCAAAGTGGAATAAACCCCTCCAACAGGATAGCTACTTTTCAACAGTATGGTTATTCCCCACATAATTCTTATTCCCCAAGCAGAATGAAAACTCTCATTCTCAATTCCTCACAGAGTATTCAGATATTCCCCCAGTGAAGATCTCCTCAAAACAGGAATCCCCAGTAGATTGGCGTACAACCCAAACTCCTGATTCCCCAACAGTGGTCCCAGGACTTCTCATTTTCAACGATCAAAGGATTTTCAATCCCCGGCAACAGTCAAGGATTTATTTTCCCCGACAGCGGTCAGAAATTTTATTAGCTCCGGCTATCCAGGATTTATCTTCCTCAGCAAGACAGCTACTCAGCTTACATACACATCCATTACATTCATATATCATAAACATTGACGAAGTACAGTTCATTGCATCATACATATCATGCAACATGACTTTATGTTTCAGCTAACATCCTACCCTTTTCAGGATAGGATTAAAAGGCTATCGTTAACAATTAGTCAAATACAATACAGATATACCCCAGACACGGCGGTCATTCTACTACTCATTCAGACTTAAGCAATCCGATACGGACTAGATATGCTCCAGACACGGCGGCCATTCTTTCTCTCATTCAGATTCAACTATCAACTTCAAGTTCAGATATGCTCCAAACACGAATGCCATTCTGTCCTTTACACCAGCAGTTTGACTTTCCCCAGTACGTTCGCCACGAAAGTCATCCTGTCAGATCCCAGTTACAGTCTTAGATATACTCCAGACACGGAAGACATTCTGCTACTCATACAGATCTCAATCCCAGTTACAGTCTCAGTAATACTCCGGACACGGAAGTCATTCTGCTACTCATACAAACTTCGAGACTTCTGAAAACAGTTTACGGATACTTCCAAACACGGATGTTAATCTATCGCTTGTTCAAATTCAATTTTTGAAAATAGTTTACGGAGGCTTCCCAACATGGATGTCAATCTATTGCTTATTTAGACCCCCAGCTCAGAGATGTTCCAAACACGGATACTTTTCTGATACTCATTCTTTCACCTATAACATACAGTTCAACAAATATTCTTGGATGGCATCTTTAAGCCCATCTCCGAATGGCATCTTTAAGCCCATTCCCTCAACTTTGCTTTGACGAGTGCAAATTTTTGGGCACTCTAGTGTCCAATCATCTTTTACCTTCGAGTCGCGAATGGCAAAATTGCCAATCTAACTCTTCGGGTTCAAGAAGATTGAACAGGGGCAACTGTTGTACCCCAAAAATTTCCCTCCTTTTTTCACAAGAAATTACAACTTCAGGGTTTTCCCTGATTTTTCGAATTGGCTCAAGAATCGGTCGAACAGACTTTTCTTTATCAGTAAATCCAGAATTAGGGTTTCCACTGATTTTGTTAAAGTTGAATCAAGAATCGGTAAAACAGACTTTTCTTTATCAGTCAATCCAGAATTAGAGTTTCCACTGATTTTGTTAAAGTTGACTCAAGAATCGATCAGACAGATCTTTCTTTAGCAGTAATACAGGATTTGGGTTTGCGCACACATTTCTCAGAAGAAATTGAATCCACAATAATTCAATTGACTGTTACATTATTTTTACGCTTGTTCTAGATTACCGGTTGTTTCTCAAAACCTAAGTATCTGGGATAGGAGCTGAGGCTTTGTTTGAACCTTAAGGCATTTGTTTGATCAGTGGAATAAAAAGGTTTATGGAATGCTTGTTTGTTAACTGTACAAAGCATATGATTAATTGGAGTGTCAGACGTATTGTGGTTAATGCAAGGTTGCGAGACGGCAAAGTTTGTTGATTATTTATTTCATCTGGGTTAAAGTCATTAGGATACATTTCCAGTTATTTTAATTTAAGAGACTTAAATAATTAAATAGACAGTACAAGGAAAGAATGGAATATTTGACAGTAGAAAATTCTTATTTGACAAAGACTTTTATTTATTTATTTCAAATATTGTTACAAATGTTAATCGAATATTGTAAATTTATAATTCACAGTGTTTACAATAATATTTATTACAATAAATGAAAAGAAAATAAATCTAAAGCCTAAATCTCTTGAAATCTTCTACTTTTACTGCATCCTCCATTATTCAACTGATACTTACCTGCAAAGGACAGAAGAAAAAGAAATCAGTGCAGTTAAATTGAAAAGCATTTTTAAGCAGATAAATAAAGTATAAAATCATCATTAAAGCTTGTTGGCCGGAATCAGAAATGCCATGTTCATCAGGTTTCATTTTCCCCTCTGCAAATCACAAGAAGATTTCTCTTCTCGGTTCACAAAGAGAAAAATAAATATATAAAATTGCAAGCATACAAGTTATTCAAAATGCAAAGAAGACAAAGCAAACTGAACAACAAACTGCATTAGTCAACTAAGTCAGCATGAGCAAGCATGGCAAGCTAACTACAAATGCAAACTAATGTCAAACTAAGTTACCAAGCTGTCAAAACAGAAAAACTGTCAAACCAAGTTGCAAAGTTGTCAAAAGTACACAAAGCTGTCAAATAAAACATACAATGCAGGAGATGAACCAAGTTACAAGCAAGAGCTTGTCCTAGCTCTCATCATGTTCTAGCCAACAAGCTTTTCAGATTAAAATAAAATAAGCAATTAAAAATGCTTTTATGGAGAGAGAAAGAGAGTGAAGTGGGGGGTTTGCAGTTTTGGCAGACTATTGTTCAAGACAATAAGAGAACACAAAAGATAAAAAAGAGCAAGACTGCATAGCAGTCCAGGGGAGCTCACAGAAGCTCAACTAGAAAACATGCTATCAAAGCAGAAAACTGCATAAAGTTGGGATGGAACCTGTAAAACAAGGGTGACAGTTCAAGAGGCAAAGCAAAAACTGCAAGTTACAAGCCTGCCTTCAGAAACTGCAAGTTACAGGCATGCCTTCAAAAACAAAAGGCCAAACCTGTTTTAAGGGGGTGATATGCTGCAAACCTGCCTTTAAAAAAAAGGGGATAGATCCACAAACTGCAACTCAATTCAAACTTGCCCAAGAACTGCAAGTTATCAAACCTGCAAAATTGCCTCAAACTGAACCTGCATCCAAGAAGCAAGC